AACACATCGTTTCTCAGCTCTCATGGCAAAACACTCGAGACTTCACAGAAATAAAGTTGCAAATCCATAACACAAAAATTTCCCGCATAATGAAAAGCCTATCACTGTAAACTCAGATTGTTTCTCAGACGAAAGAAATTCGTCAGCTCGACTCCCACTGGACACGAATAGTTTGAATCTAAATCCACTTGCATCTTTTTTTTCTGGCATTTTAGTTCAAATGTCCAGATTTCTGAATTGATAATATATTTCTCTCTCTTCTATACATTATCCATTTGAAGTTGACTACTTCTTCTGGCAAAGAAATATAAACAATTGTAGATTTTGCCCATGGCTTGCCAACTGCTGTGTTATGCTCAAATAAATTTATACTTGACTTAACCTTCTTGTACTTTTTGTACTAAGTTTCTGTTAGAATATGATGCACTAAAATCATCACTTCTAATGTTCCCTTTAAAGTTTTCTTTGTTTTTACACTATTCCTACCTCTTCCTTGTTAAATCTTCTCACTCAAAAGCCAAATACAGCATTTTTCTTTCTAATAACCAACGAGAGATCGAGCCACTGCCTTTAAACTTGACATTTCCATACAATAATATTTGGTTAATTTTCCAAAAATGACAACTGGGTCTTCCCTGACAATGTTTATATCATCAAATTTGTTCTCGTGTGATGAGAACGAATCTGATGATATTCTCCGTCGGATTCTCCAGCCGACAATCTTGATGTGTTTTCATAAGTCCCGATAGCAGGGGAGGGCATGAAGTAGATCAGGGAAATTACGGGGTAAAACAGGCTGAAATAAGCAAAATAGAGAGCAGAAATGTGTAAAACAAGCACAAAAAACGCTTAAAATCGGATAATGAAACTCTACGGACATCGCCGCCATCTTTCAAAGTCTACGGACCGACGCGCCAAATTTCGAAAAACTCTACGGGAACCAAACCCACCGTTCGGTAAAAATCTACGGGATTTCACATAATCCAGATCCCCTGTGATAATCGTACAATGCGTCCTAACCAACAAACCAACCTAACCTAACCTAACCTAACCTAGCCTAGCCTAACCTAACCCTGTGGGATTTATACACTACGATCTATACATTCCCTAGCCAGGGGGCTCTGCCCCCTGGACCCCCATGGTATTAGATGCGCCTAGCCAGGGGGCTACGCCCCCTGGACCCCCGTAGTAATATACCACATACCTTTATAAAACGAAAAACCGAACTTTTCTGCGCTTCCGTCTATGGTCAGAATTGCTTGGTTTCTAATCACTTTTTTCGGCATTTGGGGCACTTGTTGGGCTCAAATATCAGGCTTGTGATTGAGAATAATGTCTATTTGTCCTGTATATCCACAATATAGTTTAAAAAATAACCCGATGTCGACACAGCACTTGAAATGAAACATTTTCCACCGGTGTTTCTGAGCGAATGGCGGTGGGTCGACCTGTCAAATCTCCCGGTGAAAACACGCATGCGCAAAAGGTTATTGTACAGAATAACGTAAATAATTACCAAAAGACGCAAGAGAAGTATAATAAAACTAGAAGAATGCATTACATACATGAATTCAGAGAATCAGACGCTAGTAATGACAAAATAAGCGTTCTCACAAGCGCGTAGCAATACATGGACTACTTGCTGGATCGCAGTAATGAGTTATGCGTCACAATTGTTTTGATCTCGCAAGGTAAACATGGAAGGGGACTTAGAAAATGAAGGGTCGAGCTTCTCTCTTCTCTGTCCTATATCTCCCTTATTTTAGATTTGCGCAGTTTTTGCCATAGATGAAAAGTGTCTTAGTTTTCGTCAAGGTATCCATTCCATACACTTATTTTACTGTACGATTGGTTGACATGCGCGGAAAATTTTCCTAATATTTTAATAACTTAGACATTTTTCTCAGATACACTTAAAAAGTATTTTATTTTTCGCCGAACAAACTTAAATTCGCGTAAAATCCAAATAACCGCAATTACAAGTTCTAACCATCCACCAAACTATATCGGAAACCAAAGCTCCACGTCAAGGAACTTCTCTTTCGCGACAGGAGTCGGGGAAAAAATACATATATAAAAATGGAAAATTACCTCCGGCCGCGATAACTTTAACAAACACACGACTTAACAGATTTTTTCCGCGAGGAGAATCCCCCGAGAGAGTAGGAAAGCGGCAGCGAGCACCGAAAAAATCTTTAAATCCATCCAGCTGCAGCGCCTCTGCCTTCCGAGCCGTTTTCTCCCATCAGCTGATCTCCAGCACGGATAAATGACGCACAACTTGCTCAACTAGCCCATAGAACTATCTCCGTTGCAAACTGCACCTGTTCCATTGGCTCGGGTGACACCAGGGATGAGAAAATCAAGCCCACCGGTCCTGCCAAATGGCCAAAAAGCGAGCAAAGGCCAAGGCCATCCCAGGGAGCAACAAACTCTCCGTCTGTGTGTTTCGTCAGGAGACTTTCCCGGAGACGTTTTTGTTCACTTCTCTTGCTCTTACCACTCCTCCTGGATCCTCTTGAGATGTATGTGACCTTTGCCGTGTAGTTATGATCCCCGTCCATGCACTGTTATACATCCATAGTTGTCATAGGTTTGAGAATTTTCACGATTTTACATTTCCTTCAGCGAGGAAAGTGAATCTGCAGAAGCATCATGGCTGACTACAGGGTCTAGCAGGGCTGCCAACTTCGCGGGGGACGGGAGGGTTATTCTTAAAGAGAGAGTTTCATGTTTTTTTTGTAACGGGATCTCACATGCTGAGGCTCTACATACAGATTTTCATTTTTCTTTCACTTTATAACATTTATCTGGAGGATGACTGTATATAGAAGGGTTGTGTGTGAATTCACCTGTTCACAAAGCTTCACCTGTCTCCAGGTAAAAAAATAGTATAAACTTGAATGGTGTATAGTGTATTAATAGAGTACCTAATAAATGAAGACCAAATAATCATGTCTCCATCTCCGATATGAAAAAATTCACGCAAACCTTAATCTCGATATATGAATTGAAAATCCATCGCATGTTGGTACTCCTGTGACTAAAGAGCCGCAGTACGCAGTATCACTCCGCCTGCACTCCTATGTTTAAAACCCTGTTTGGTGCCTGTATTTATTTCCTTGTACCAATATAACAACATATTTATGTAACATTAGATACGTATGATCCATGATTGATTCACGGATAAAGAAAGTCGTTCATCTTTTTCAGTCTTTCATATTTGTCAATGACGTAAGGTAGATGACCGCACTACTTGATAAAGCGGAAAAATATTGGATCCTCGCAATTAAATTGATTAATTTGGACACAAAGCTATGGGTCATGCCTAGTAAGGTGTAAATTCAAGGAATATGTTTATACCATTGTCTAGTATGAACATATAATACACAATGCGGTTTTACACGCACTAAGCACCGCCCTTTCATTTACGTTTTACAAACCTTAACGAACGAAAATTCAATATTGCTGAAACCTTAGGGCAATTATTTACCAATAAAAAGATCCCTTGTTAAAAGCATTTATATTCTCTTGATTCTAATAACGGCATGCAAACTAGTGAACCGTAACTCAAAGCTGAAAAAGTGTCTTTGTTTAAACGTTACAGAGTTATCAGTGGGTGGGCGTAACTCGCTTCCACTATTAAATCATTTAAAACGAACTGTTGTTGCGCCTCTCTTAACTGGCAACATATTGCTACAAGAAATGACTATATATACTGTACCCTAAGAGCGAAATCGAAGCCATGAATGATAAAAACAGCTTTGTCTAACCCGCCACATGCCGGCGTCTGTAGTGTGTATATATATAGGACAACCTGAAGTCATTTGGCGAATCCAGACTGATAATCCTTAATATTATCTCCTTTAAATCCTGCACTGAAATGGTTGCGGGGGTAGTAAATAATGTACCCGGCGCGGAAAATTGTAAAGACAGCTGAATTACTTCATGAGCAACTTAAATCGTTGGAATATTCAAGGCATATTGAGTAAATATATCTTTACAACATTATCTTTAACGAATATCAAACTCGAGGAAGGTATCGTACGAACACGCAATAACGTCTGTAAGCCTAAGGCATATAATTCAGGAAAATACCATTATGAAACCGCATTCCTTTGTTACCCTGTGTATCAACGAGAATAGTCAATATTTGTAGTATTTATCCTTGTTTCCTATATAAATTGAGCGCGTAAATTTATAGTACGTATTTCAGTTAGTTTTTTTTTAGGTTTACTTTGTATTGTAATTTAGCTTCTAGGAAAATTATTTGTATGTAGTCTAAATTACATATGATGAACCAAAGCTTTATTTTCATAAACATTGCTATCACCACTGTTTTCATTATATATTTGTAATACATATACTTATCATCATGGAATAGATATTGATATTGTTTCTTGTGTATTTTTCCCCTTAATAATGATATTCAACATAATTACGGTCATGGTAAAAGTTCACCATCACATCCCTAATTAACGTGGCAAAAAACATAGCTATCAAAAGCAATGCCAATATTTACATTAACAATCCTCATTACTGTTATCACCATCGTTATCGGTATGGTAACATGTTATCACAGCCGCAGCGCCCTCTTGGTAAGGTCTAACACATGCGCAGAACCGCTCGCGCCCTCTCTCGTAGCCGCTAGCACTCCAACTGCACCATAAAAAACAACCAGATTATATACCCTCCATAATTCCCAGCATGCCGCAAAGTATCCGGGCATGCGATATGTATATATATATATTTATTTCTGGAATAAGCTGCCGTCTAGTACTGAAGCGTCCTATGATGGTGGTTTGGTTCCAGGGATATACATGGTCCTTCGCCAGAGTAATATGAAAATCGGCATTTTTCTTGAGACGTATGCTAATTATTTTCTGTTTTTAAGGGTACAGCTCACAGCGCGATGCAAATAAATAGTATATCAACATTATTTTACGAGTATTACCAAAAAATGGTTTCTCCTACGGTGTTATATACATGTATTGACTGAAAGTGGAACTGTGTAAGCATCAACTACAAAATAATGGATATAATGCTATGTTGATAATATCACCACCAATAAAAATTATTATCGTCACTTTTTTAGTACGTCCTCACCAATGGACATTATATAATCAATATCACTTTGATATCATGTGTGATCTATGGAGATTCATCCATATATTCAGAAAAAGTTAAATTATAGTTCCCTTTCTTTAATGTTTCGCTGTACAATACAGTGGGGATCTCGTACAGACACATCCACCAGGCAAAAAGCGCGAATTCTCAGGGTGAAGACATTGACATATTAATGTTACACCTATTCGGAAACGTGACAAAGAAACATGGGGAAAACTACGAACGTATTTACCTATGTAACTTTTTAAAAGTATATATTCAGTTATTTATATAAGAGAATGATAGCCTGTCAATTTATAAGGACCTCCGTATTAACATTTTTTCTTGATACTTGGGTGTAGTTAAATAACCACACTTAAATAATTAACCATAGGCAAAAGCCCTCTGTAGAACTGTAATTGCAGCTTCTAAACTTGGCATAGGTAAGTGGAGTGGACCAGTCAGGTCAATTTTAGATACGGGTTGACATTTCTGCAGCTCTCACTTCCCACACTTTCTGGTGGTCATTATACTTTCTCCCTAAAGTTGTATTCGTACGGTTTACGTATCTGTTAATGGAAAATATTCGTATTATACGATTAAAATGTAAACAAAAGTATTTGCATCTGCACAGATTGTGTGAATTTCCCTTGTGTGTAATATATAACGTTTTTTTTTCCAAAGTAATAATTCCTTTTTCATGGTAAACTCCGCGAATTCGAGCTCACAGTTTTACCGTTATAAAGCTTATGCACCTGAAACACTTTTTACGTACTCGAAACCCGGTGGGATTTTCACATCACTGCAGCTCCATTATTTCAAAAAATCCCAACAGCGTCGATTCTGCTCTTCGATTGTTTCCAGAAGAGGAAGTAGTTTAGACGTCCTATTTATTCACCGTATCTGCCAAACCACATATGTTTGCAGGATAGCAGACTTATTTTCTTTCTATAATATAACTGTCACTGTATCCGGGTAATCGGTACCATCAAATGTATCATCACTTAACGACGTAGCATATCCTCGCTGTCTATCTTTTGATCAATACCGTCACAGCAACCATTTTCCATACGCATAACCGACACAACTACACATTTTTCTCTACAAAATCAGTAAGACACGAGAAATCATTTAACGTTCCCCTCCGGAAAG